AATAACAGTTACATTATTATTATTTATACGTTAAATGATCATATTTCCTTTTCTCCCAAATTAAATTTACCTCATGTGGCTAATTAACCAGCTAACACCTGACTGCTCACTTATGCAAAATTCCATGGGGACAAACAGTTTTCCGTTTTTGTTTTTTTTTTTTTAGTAGAATATAAACCTGGGACTGTTAGTTCCAGATCTTCCAACACATGTACTTTCTATCATCCATTTATAATATAAACCAAACAAAACCGCGTCAAACAGGACAGTGACAACACCATTAGACCGTGTTCTAACGCTTTCTCCCAACTACCGTACCTACTTCCTCGCTGTCCCCTTCCCAAGTAGCTCTTTGCCTTACAGCTGAATCAGTTAATAGAGTTCAAGATTCTAAACATCCAGCCTTCAAATAAGTATTAATCAACGATGCACAAGAAAATTCCAAATACTTTTGAATTAAGCGTGCTAATTATGTTTAACTAGATCACATTTTTAAAGAAAAAATGTATTTATTTTCTCCTGAAATAAGGCTGAGGAGGCGAACTGACTGTTTTACGTTGGACTAAAACAAAATATCCATTAACCTAATTTAGCTCTTTATAACACTGAGAAATAATATGAAAATATGTAATCATAGCTATTTAAGTAAAAAATAAAGTTTGACACGAAGTAGGTGCAAAGTAAGTCTACGAATGTAAAATTAGAAAACCAAACACATTATTAATTAGAGTACTTATTATTAGTTAGACTATGTTAATAATTTGGCTAAAGCCATGCACTCCATTCCCGGATGTGCCAGTTTACTGGGCTTTGTTACAGGGACACAGGCGGAATGACAAGTCCCAGCTGCCTCGGAAGCGCGCATTGTTGACAGTGAAGGGGCACAGCAGACGTGTGGGAAGATCAGGCCAGTGCCGTCACAATGACACGAAAAACAATTCTGAGCACGTCGCCTACAGGGAGTGGGTCAGCTGCTTGATCTGTATTTCAGTTTGCCACTGAGCACGTGTCTCTTGCAGACAGGTGCTTAATGATGGTTCTTTGTAATGTTAATAGTGACGAAGAGAGGACACGTTCTAAAACTAGATGGCAGCTTTACCAAGCAGGTAACTTTAAGATGGTGAGATCCACGAACAACACAGCTAATGCATCAAATGTGCGTTCCTGAACGTTTCGGGGCTTAAATTATAACCCACATATTAAAAGTTCTTATTCTGAAAAGCACCGATAGTCTTGCTCTGTAACGTAGCAGCAACTAATTATGATTTTTCTCACCACAATGTAAAATATACACGTAGAGATAGATATTTACATACGTAGAGATATCTACATCTATATGTATATGTACATTTTACATCGTGTGAGATTTTACACAAATACATGTATATAAATATAAACAAAATATACCTATAGATGTGTATCTGAGACATCCTTTTATAGGTGAGGTAGAAAAAGGGAATGGTAATTTCTGACGTTATGTATGACTCAATATTCAGAGAGTAAGCCAAAAATCTTTATTCATAGGAGGAATACTCGTAAATGGTCTAGAAAGTAGTTTTTGCTTTCATATTAAAAAAGCAGTCACTCCCCTGTCTGCCACCTAAAATCATCCCCCTACTTGCCAGTCATGTTATTCGAAGGTTAAATAAAGAAGTTGCCCTAACCACAGCGAGATTGAGGCCATGGGCACGTTGCAATGCTCTGTTCATAAAATTAAAAGTGTTTAATGTATCGAGAGAGAGAGAGAGACAGACAAACACACAGAGACACACACTACTATTCAGCGAGTCTAACTAGAGGAAACAAATATGAAAAATAAGTAGGAAGTGCAGAAAACCCGAATGCATCGCAGTGGAGGAAGATGTTTTCTCCTATTGGCAGTTGCTATTCAATGTGTTTTGAGGCACACTGCTTCAGTTTTATAGTATTATTAATAAGTCACCATGCTGAGATATTTTAGAGCGAATTCGTTTTTGTAGGGTCACACGATGATTTAGTTATCTTATATACAAAGAGGACATGTAAAGTAGAAAAGATTTAAATTCTGGAGTGTTCGCGACATATGCCATCACTTCTGCTAGACATTTTTAAAACATACCTAATTTAATTCTCGCTAATAAAAAACACAAATCTCATAGGGTGATTAACGATGTGGAAAATATGGTTAGATAAATTAAGTAAGTTGCCCAAGGTCTCCCAACTAGTATAGCCCTAGTCTTTGAAACAAACGATATATATTTGGACCTTAATGACTTACCAATGCTAGAGACTGATTATCGTCCCACAGTATGGAGTTTTTCCTCTTTTCCATGATAGCACACTACGTAGCTGGGTTGATCGTTCCTGAGCCAGGCCACAGTTTTACAGGCTCCCTTAAAGCTACATGTGGATATATGACCGAATTCTGGCCCAGATTATGCATGCAACTTCTGGGTTGTGCCTTATCTGCCTCCTGAAGGCTGGAGTTAGTATGTCATGGCAACACTAGAGCAGCCATCTTGAACCATGAGATGGAAATCATGTTTGAGAATGGCGAAAACAGGAGGCAAGGAAACAGTCTCCAATAACAGTCAGCTGATATCACAGCCTTGGACAAACTGCCTAGACAATTCTATTAGTTTAAGTTGCTAGATCTTTACGTATACTTGTATTTTATAGAGTGTGTAGTGAAACTCTGTTAAAGCAGCCTGTATGATATAACTAATTCACCGTTGTTTATATTTTTCTCTTAGATAACTACACTTATGATGGTAAATTCAAATGAGACTTATTCTTCCTTACTATGATGATTTATGAAGACGTTTTACTTGTCATGCTAGATGGGATGCACAGAAATTAAACTTGAGTTTCTCTATTCTAGATATTATAATTTAAAACGTATTAATGTAAATGTATTAATGTACATGTAATTAAAAACAATAACATTTTATGTAGCTAAACATACCTATATCATAATTACACATTGACGTGCATAGTCACATACTGGAGACAGCTGTAACACTAGATAATATCCGTTAAAACTACCACTCAGTTGTCTAAAATTCAAACATATATATACAACAACAAAAACAGCTATAGTTGCATATAAAACAAACAGGGAAACATGAATAAATTACATAATGGCAATTTTATATAGATCATGAAAACCCTTTATCTACCACCGTTGCATTCCTTGACATAAGAAAGTGGGCAAATGTGCCTAGTCACTGCCATAGGAAATAAAAACCACTGAAGATACAGGCACAGAGGCAGAGAGGAAGGGCAAATGGCCCAGGAGGACTGATTCATTGTGATGAGCATGCTTCCGGAACAGAAGTGCGGAAGTAAGTGTTGTCATGTAAAAATAATTTGTCCTTATTTGAGCATTAATATTGCAGTTACCTCTTTTCTAAATCTATTTTAAGACTTCCCATTATATTTAGAAATCATTCATTTTAGTTTTTGTAAATTTCCAGCAATTGAAATATTGGCACGTGCATAAGAATATAAAAATTTTAAGTACTTTTTCTTAGGTAAAATGAGAAAAACTAAATTATTCAAATGAGGTCATCTTAAAATTAAGAATTTTTAGTAACTTCAGAAGTCATTACTGTTAGCCTTTCATTATGCAGTTAGATATTTACTAGGTGAACAATAAAGCAACTTGTGAAAGGTTAAAAAAATTTTAGAAGATGGCATTATGACAATTTTAGAAGAATATTTTATATATAAAGGCATTAAATATCCTAAAATGTTTATTTTTTAATACAAAAGTATGCAAGAAAACATTTTGAAGCCGTCCGATAGTGATTAACTGCATCTGCTGATGCAAACTGATTGTCATACCGAGTTTTCTAAATCTATCCAGTAATGTGCCGTGTCGTGGTGTTTTGGTCAGTGACACAACACATATATGACAATGGCCCCAAAAGGTTATAATGGGGCTGAAAAATGTTTGTTAGTGACATCTTAGCAGTGACATCACAGAGCAAGGAATGACTGACACGTGTGCGCAGTGTCGCAGGTGAAAATGAACCTCCCATGGGGCCAGTCACATAAAAGTGGAGAACGGACAGTTTCCGCGGTTGGTTCTTTGTCACGTTGATAGTGACGAGGTTTATGCAGGTGCACCCTGTGATGTTCCCACGATGGCCAAATCACCTAGCTGTGCGTTTCTCGGCACGTTTCCTTGTCATCGGGTTCCACTCAGTGACCGTATTTCCGGACATATACCTACGGCTAGCGTAGCTCTCGTTCTGTTACGACAGCGTACAAGTGCATCCTTCTTAGTACTTCATAGTTAGCTTTTTATTTGTCCCCATAGGTCAAATCCAGCTCAGAGCACAATTACACATACGATCTGAGACTCCTGCAAAACGCATGTATTATCCTACCTCGTTTGCTAATTTTCACGTTTTTTTTTCTCTAGTTAAGGGTCTGCATGAATCCATACGAACAGTGCATCGGTTCACATAGGTCTACTTTTTAATTGTCAATGTCGAAAGTAGAAAGAACTGTTTCCTCTAACAGAGCAAAGTGATATGTCTTGCCTTACACCCTCAGAAGCTGTTGCCCCTGCTTTACACCTGGTTGCACACTAGGCCACCCTAGAGAGAAGGCACAGGTGGAGACAGTGACGGGCACTGACAGTTCTTCTCAACAGTGTTTCTGCTTTGAAAACTGTAGGAAGGTAAGGGCGCCTCTCTGTCAGCAGTTTGAAGGAAAATATTCTTTTTTGACAGCGGGCTTACAGGACACTTTCTTGTGATTGGGTTGTTTACAGCGTTTGGGGACACGCCATAGTCGCAGTGAATATCAACGCCAAATGACACCTGTGCTTTTACGTTTTTTTCTAAGACTGAAGGAAGCATTTTATTTTTATTTCTGTAGGTGATCCGTTACATTTTATAGTGAACGATTGATCGATTTTCATCGAACTATTAAAATGGTTTATAATATAGTTTTTTGACACACCACAGTTAAATGAAACATAATAAAAATGCCGATATGCATAATCTTACCAGGTGAAGATAAGGCATAGTAATGTAGATATTAAAATCAAAACTTGATTAAACATTGCAGACTGTGTACGCTGAATGGCTCTATGTAGATCATTCTAAAATAATACAGAAAAAAATATTTTAAGTTTTGATAAATTTTAAATATTCATGAGTTTCATTACATTAATTACTATGCATTACATTTCATACTCAATACATATATTTTAAATAGATATAGCATATTTCCAGTTTTGCCTAGTTCAAAGTATATCTTATTGCAGCATTCATATTACAAAGATAATACCATGGTAAGACCACCAAAGCACCAAATTTCAGTTTACTCGCTTTACAAACATCTATAGAGGCTGACTCCCCAGAACGCCTTCTGTGGAAGCACCATCTCTTATGGAAAATTCTAATTTTAAAAGATCAGAAAATAATATATTCAACTCAGGGAAAAGTAATAGCTGGGTCAAACTACTATCAAATCTCATTCTCTGAATCTGGAAAAATAAATTATGCCAGACAATTTATCATAAAAAAATTGAATAGCCAGTGAACAATTTTTTGAAGTTCTGGTTCATTAATATTAAAAGAAATTTGAATTCAAGATAGATAGACTTTTTTTTGCAATCGAAAGATAAAAAATAATATTACCCAGTGTAATTTAAGATGCAAAAAATGTGTACTCACATATGATACTGCTCATGCAATTTATTATAAATTTCTAGAAGGTTATATGGTAATATAGGTCACAAGTAACAAGTATGTTATGTTTCATGTGTTTTTCATTCATTTAATAAGTACTTACTCAATAACAATTGCTAAAAATTAACCACATAAAAATCATTAGAGATGGAAATCTATGTTTATATGTTCACTTTTATTACAAAATTATATTTATTATATGAAATAATAAATGTTCATTATTAAAATAACTAAATTATGCAGTACAAAAATACTTAAATAAATTGATCAAAACTATGTAATAGATTTCGATACATCCATTAAAAATGATCTGTAGTAGGATGTTTAATGACATAAGAACTTGTCTACTACATACTAGTATATGACGAAAAATTCAAATTATAAAATTGAACATACGATATAATTTAATGTATGATATGTGTGCATGTTTTTTCATAGAAAATATTAGAAGAATATAAATTATTATTAGTATTCTGTGTGGTAGGCTTATAGATTTTCATAACTTTCTCATTTTTGGTTCACCTCAAATTTTTTTATGATAAACATTCAGTAGTCTTAAAATCAGTATAGAATGAGTTCAGGTCACTGATATAAAATACCAATGAGCCATCATTTTATCTTCTTCCACCACATTATCTAACCAGAACCGTTACGAAAACAAAAAATTAAGTTGATTAGAATTTTACCTCAACCCTTACTTTCTTTTGACAGATGTGTTAATGAACAGAAAAATTAATAAACATTAATCAGTAAGAGGAGAAGTAAAATACAGAAATATAATGAAAATGAATCCTAAATTAATATTGCAAAGCCCTGCTTTGCTTCTCAGTGATCGACTAATGATTTCTCTCTGGGTTAGGTAATTTTTTCCAACGAATAATAAACACAATTGAGCAAAGAGGTTTATTTTTTTTTCTGGTGCATTTTTTTTCATTAGCACTTTAGGCAATCTATAGTTAGTGAAATAAGTTTTTATTTTTGTTTTTGAACAGTTAAGACAACCCACCGTTCTTTCCAGCCCCTCCATGGGCTACCGCCTCCCACCCTTTGGCCACATGAGACTCCAGTGGTCCCTTAATGTGAATGTTTAGAAACATTTATCCAGTGATGAACTCTCAAATGTTATCCAAATAGACCTCGTGGCCAAAACTTTTCTCATAATTTCTGTTTAAAAGCCATTTAAAAGGAAAACAGTTCTGTCTCTACAAATTTAATTTCAGTGTGGTAAAATTAATAATATTGAGCCTTTACTATGTTTATGCATGTATTTATACACACATTATATATGTACATGTAACTTCATTTAATTCTTATAACAAGCCTGTTATGTTGATACTTTTATTCTCTTCAAGATGAAGAAATTAGCAAAGAAGTTAAATCATGTGGCTATCCCATTAAAGTGCTTGGCAGGTAGTGGACTCAGATGAACATATGTAGAATGAATGACTAAAGAGCAAGCCAAGGGGCCCATTATACATCAGTCTTAGAGCTCACCGGTAAGGATTGAAGCCTATTATCAACATATTTTGTTCGTAGTTATAAATCAGTCCTTCCAAACAGGGTCAGCCTTGAGCAAAATGCAACTGCGACACACTCCGAGTCTACATCTCTTACTTCTTGACTCCTTTTGTCTCTCCTGCATCCCACTTACAACCCAAACCCAACCAACTCTAAAAAGATGACCTTAAATGAGGAGCTTCCAGCTACAAAACAGGGCCTTCCAAGACCCCATAGACTTTTAACGGAATGCGAGACTACCAGCAGTTAAGTTTGCCACCGTGACCTGAATCGTTAAAACCACAGATCCCATTGTACAGCAGCAGACTGCCTGCAAAGGTTATTTGTCTTCAGATGATTGACTCATTCATTGGACCAGTCCAAAGAGCAGTGAGCTTCGGTTCGATGATATTTAGAAAATCTCGACCGTTTTTGCTTCCCAGCTCATAGGGCCTCGCAAAGGCAGTGACTTGGCCATATGGACATTTTATAACTTTTCTTTCTGATTAGGATACAAGCAAATTGGTCACTTAAGGTCTATTAGCTTATGCGTGTACACAACAAATCACTTTAATTATTTGACAGTTTTACCAAAAGTTTCATTTTTACAAACATTTAAATACAACTGTTTACTAAGGAACTAAATTCATTTGAAAGAAGTTTAAAAATGAAACATTTAGATATTTCATTATAACTTAATAAATTCCTATAGTATGAGTTTATGTTTTATGGGAGAAAACAGAATGAAAAAGAGAGACCACAAGCCATTTTCTCTCTAGTTAATGGAAACACCGAAAGAAAGACTGAAAAGTTGAAAGATATTTTTGTGCTTTTATACTTACAATCATATTCTCCAAGGCATGTTTGGCAAGCCAACAGTTTAGAAAGACTGGGACAAACAGATTCCGTAAGGATGGCCAGAATATCTGAAAAACAAGTCAAAACTAAACTTTTATCTCAAAGCAAGAAATCATATCCAGCAGATTTAAAAAAATGTAAAACAGAAAAATAAGTTATTAGACACTATAATGATCTAAAGCATGTGACAGATCCTTTAAACTCATATTATTAATAAAATGCAAGGAATAGATGATCTAAGTCTTAGGGAAATATTCTTTGGGAAATTATTGTAGAAGCAGAAAAAAAAACAATAAGCTCCCACTAGTTGTCAGATATAACTATGCTAATTCTATCATTAAATCGTTTTTGTGTGACAGTTTATAATAGACGTTGCCTCTTTCTTCCTTACAACTAAAGGGGAAAAGTGGGAATAATAAGAGAAGACTTTGCTTTTTATAACATCACCACTTACTCTCCTGGGATTCAAACATTTTAAGTGACACGGGGGAACCATGTTTAATTGGAATGATCGTCAGTCGTTTAATCTAAATCCAGTTGCTCCTCTAGGTAAATCACTCAGCATAATTGGCAGAAGCGAGCAGCAGCTTCAGATAGCTACTTTTTTTTTCATAATTTTCCAAATAAAACTCAAGGTGTTAGCATCGTTCCCACAAACACTATTATAACTATCAAATACAGGTTAAAACCTAATTTTGCTGGGGAACATGAGATCGAACAGCATCTTCTTGGAGTTGGCACTCCACAGGACGTTGACGAAGAAGCAAATTGCTGGTTGGCTGTTCACAATCTACTAATTAAAGAGAGAATTGGACGTAATAAATCCTGCAGTTAAACTAGAGATAAATATATTCTCGATGTGAGAAACTTTTATTAATACTTGGTGGTACCTGTTTTTTAATTCCACAATATACATAAGAAATGGAGCAATTTCTAGTCTGTTCAGACAATATTGACACTTGTTGAAATGGCATTTCATTTTGCTATGGCACTAAATCTCATTAGTCTTCATTTAATTTCACAATCCAGTTATCCGAGTGATTTGACTGTTTGTTTTTAATGTCACGATTCTAACCAAAGCCTAAATTCATTTATCTGAACTAATATGCGATGTACTAGTGTTTAGATGTAAAGACTTTACTCAAGTCTAGTGACAAAATTATATTTTTTAAAGATTCTCTCAGGACTTACCGAGATAATGAAGGGAACCGCGTTGATTATTTCCAAGATGAAGGGTATTCGTAAAATCTGTTCCCAGATGTTTCCCTTCCAGGAAAGAATGAATAAAAATAAAAGTCAGTTATACCAAATCCCATCAAAGAGGGGAAGACAGCACTCAGAATTTCTCCAGCAATAAGGATGCTTGTATTAACAGGATACTGAATCATTATCTAAAGATGTAGGGATGACTTTTAGGGATTATTTTTCTAAATGTGAGAATGCTTTTTTCGATTTTGTAGTGAGTTTAAGAATTAAACAAATGTTACGGTAATCCTCGAATATTACATATGACACGTTTTGTCGTGTAATATCTCATGGAATAAAAGTTACCAGTAAAAAGAAAACACATGAGCAAAACCTACAGAATCAATGAAAAAGTGACCCCATGGTAACGTGTTTACTATAATAGCTATATTCACAAACTAAATATTACGTAGTTCCTACACACACCATTTGTTAACAGTGTCCATTGGTATTAACGCTGTTTTTACATTAAGAAAACATCAAGGAAGCATTTTTTTCCATCGACTAGATTTTAACCTCTCAACCCACATAACACAACAGTATTAACCTGGACTGGCTAGGTAATCCCCAGGGCCCAGTGCAGAATGAAAATGCACAGGACTAAGAGATCTGTTAGGGCCTCTTGTTGACAAATCGTTAACCATTTCGAGAAGGCGACATCAGAACATCACCCCCAGCACGGGCCCCTCACTGTGTCATCCTGCATCCCTGTGCAAACTACTGAGCATAATCAGTCTTTTCTTGTCACCCCAGGATCCGACCCCTCTCTGTGAACCCCACAGGCCTTTATTTGCACCTCACTGAATAACAGTACCTGTTATTCTGCCATCTATTATTTTCCATATAATTTTTTTCCCTGTCTATCCCCATTTCTAGATTATAAACTCACTAAAAAGCAAACAAACAATGCACAGTTTGGAGTTCTCCATCAAAAAGAGGCTCAATAAATACTTGTTAAATTGTGTTGGCCAAACAGAGCTTTGCCAAAAATTAAGAGAATTCATTCGAATGATTCCTAATAGACACGTTTTTGCTCCCTTGATGTTTTTTATACAGATCAGGAAAAGAGGTTGAGAACAATAAAAAAACCAGATCATTCTATTTGTGTGGCTCATCTGAGCATGCATATAATGGATAAATTAACCCATAGGAATTAGCGAAGTATTTTGAAGCCATCAAGGAAAGCATTACTGTATTACTGCAGTTTTTTATCACGTACTAGAGAGGTCCAACATAATTAAAGTGGTTTAAGAAGAGCTAGCTTTATCCCCAGAGTATGAATAATAATAAATAGAGGAATGCTGGGTAAATGCTAGTAATGTGTTCTATCAGCAGAAAACTTCTAATGAAAATAGCTTACCTTATAACTGAGATAACCAAGTAGTATTGTTTCAAATAGACTTATCAAGGCCACTAAAACCTAAAATATAAATTACACCTTAATGAGAAAATGCAATGAACTTAATACATATTCATAATTATAATACCATATAGTATGTATAATATATATTATCATATTCGTGACTTATAAAAGTTAAATTTATAAACATATGCATATATGCATGTAGATCTATATATTTGTGATACACGCCTATATGACATAGGGAGGTGATATATGGCACTTTATCGTGTAGCTGCAGGTGGCAGGCTGCAGACCGTCTCTGGCACCACAGCTTAGCCTTTGGGATTTCTGTGCCTCCTTGATCAATCTTTTCTTATTGATCACAAATGGAAACGTGAGATTGGAACGCTGGACTGGCTAGAGTTTGCACGACGCGGAAAGAATAGGTTTATTGTGTGTGGGTTTCCCTAATACACGCAGTCGCACGCAGCTGCCACACCACAAACGACACCCTCTGCTAGCTATACCACCACCGTGTCCAGTGCACCCACCAAACACAGCAGCGCCCTTCAGAAAGAAAAGAACACAAGCTTCGAGTTCAATGATACGGCCCACGCCATCGCCCACCTCCACGTCAACCGGAATGAAACAGCACCATTTGTGAACACTCGACAAAAAACAGTCCGTGTCGCCACTTAGGGACACTTTCAGATTTTATTTGAACTTCAGAACCAGTTCCCCTTCTGCCCTTTTCCCAGACAGGATTCCATCTTTCTCTCTCTCCTCTATCGAATATACAATTCCCACTGCCGAACTACCAAAAAGCTATGATTGCAACAGAAAAAGTAACTAGAAAAGAGACCCAAATGTTTCTGTGTTAAATAAATACTCTAAGCACTCTAGGATATATGAATGGAATTGAAATAAGCAAGCAAATGCCTCTGATAACAAATGTATCTGTTTTTAGACCTTTGAGCTGTAAGAGAAGCTGCATGAGAAAGGCGGGTAGCTTGGAGTTTTACATTTCGACTCTTGTTGGAATGAAAACTTTGATTTAAGTGAATTTTAAAACACAAAGACAATAAGGAAAACGTAAATGCATGGTAATATAAGTTAAATACGTTTAGAAGTGCATACACTAGCCAAGCTTGATCGTGATATAAAATTCATAGTCGTAGATTTTTGTCACAAATTCTCAAAA